GTCTATGTGTGTTGTGTTGTACATAGGGTTTTCAGACGCCTGCCATTTCAGAAGTGGATGGCCAATCCTTCTTCCTAGTCTGTCTTAATCTGAATGTTTAGACCTAGAGGAGTATCTGACAGACAGCAATTTGTGGAGTAGTGAAACGATATAGTAAGTTTAAAAACCTTGAAATGCAATAGAATTGTTATTCCCTAAAAGAAAAAAATATATTTGTATGTATATAAATGAGTATCTGTTGAAGGATACCCATATAAATAAAAATGTCTGAAGCATTCACAAAGAAACAATAAGTAGCCGAGTGACAGAAATAAGAAGGGAACTTTCAAACATCCGGTCATGCATCTGTAATTTTAAACCATGTAAATGTATTTCCTGGTGGCGTCGTAGTAAGGAGTTGCTGCTGCCAATCCAAAGGGAAGTAGTTCTAATTCACCCATTACTGTGCTTCCGCAATTTACAGTTTCAACATAACAACTAAAAAAAACACACGTAACAACTGAACAAAATGAAGCAATAAATCATTATGTTAATACTATTAATATCAGAATCTAAGTATGCCAAAATCAGTGTTTTGGAAGTTCAAAACAATCATGTAGTGCAAAAATAAGACCTGAGAAAAACAACTAGTTTAGCGTGTTATTTTTAAAAGGAAAGTTGAAATTTCTTGGATAATTCTAAATGACAAAAATTGGTGGGTGCTGTCAAGATATTTCTGTACAATCACATTATGAGGTAATATGAAAGCATATATGTCATGTTTGTTTTCTTACAATAATCTAAGAGATAGAAAATGAAGATGTTCACATTAAACATTTTCATTCTCAAAACACTTTCTATTATGGGACATGTAGTATTGTAATGAAATGTGCAAAGAACAGGAATCAGAAAAACAAAAGGGAAGAAATTGCTTGGCATTTCTCAAGCAGAAGGAACTGAAAAACAAATTCAAGCCTAGAGTTTGCAATACTTTAAGATTTTATGGGGAAAATATTTAATGAGCCAAGAAACATCAAAAGAGATGAAAGGAATCCACAGTCACTAAACCAGAAGGAATTGGCTGACAAAGGACCATTTCAGGAAGTCTTATATGACCAGAAACCAATGATGATGAAGAAAGAAGTTCAAGCCACACCTGAAGGCATTGGCAAAAAATAAGGCCCCAGGAATTGATGGGATATCAGTTGACATATTTTAACAAACAGATACAGCCCTGGATGTGCACATCAGGTTGTGCCAAGAAATCTAGAAGATAACTACCTGGCCAATTATTTGGAAGAGATTACTATTTATTCTCACAAAAGAGGATCTAGATCCAATAAAATGTGGAAATTTTTGAACAGTATCAATAATATTATGTATGAGCAAAATCTTGCTGGATTATCCAAAATAGTATATCGACAGAGAACTGTTAAAAATACAAGCTGAATTTAAAAGAAGTTGTGGCACTAGGGATATCATTGCTGATGTCAGATGGATCTTGGCTGAAAGCAGAGATTACCAGAAGGATATCTATTTGTTTCTTATCAACTATGCAAAGGCATGCGACTATATGGATATCAAAACAAACTGTGCCTAACATTAAGAATGGAAATACCAGAATACTTGATTTTGCTCTTATAAAATCTATACCTAGATCAAGAAGCTATTGTCTGAACAGAACAAGGGAACACTGCATAGTTCAAAATCAAGAAAAGCCTGCACTATCTTTTCTACATACCTCTTTCAATCTATATGGTAGTCAAAAGATCTTTGTGGAGAATGGACTTCATGAGGAAGAGTGTTGCATGAAGATTGGAAGAAAACTAATCAACAACCTGTATTATGTGGATGACATAATCTTACTAGCAGAAATTGAGCACTTGAAGGTGCTGCAGAAGGTCATAGACCGCAGCCTTCAATATTAATTGCATCTCAAGTCAAAAAAAGAAAGGTCCGCATGATTGGGCCAATAGACAGTAAAATGATAGATGGAGATTGTTAACAATTTCATCTTGCTAGATCCACAATCAATACTTTTGGCACCAGCAGTCAGGAAATCAAAATACAAGATTCATTGGGAAAATTGGCTGTCAAGGACCTATCCAGAGTGCTAAAGAGCAATAAAGTCAGTCTAGAGATTGAGGTATACATGATCCAGGCCATGGTCTTCTCAATTGTTTATTATGTATCTGAGATCTGGACAAGGCACTAAGGATAACAGAAGAAAAATTGATGCCTTTCAGTTGTGGTGCTGCAGAAGAGTATTGAACATACTTATTGACTGCCAAGAGAACAAACAAGTCGGCCCTAGGAGGATGAAACCAGGTTGCTTCTTGGAAGCAAGGACTTTGAAGTTCTGTCTCACATATTTTGGGCATGTGGCCAGGAGGGGCTGGTTCTTGAAGAAGGACATCATGCTTGAAAGAGTAGAATGGCAACGCAGGAGAGGAAGACCCTGGAGGAAATGGATTGACACAATCATGTGTATCTGAGATAGTGAAGGTGACTCAGGATACAGCAAAATACACAGTCATTATTCATAGGGTCTCTGTGAGTCAGAGTCAACTTGACATATACCAACATCATAGTTACTAGGAAGTTCTGGTGGCTTGATAGTAAGAAGCTGCGCTGCAATACAAAGCGAATCTACCACCTGCGCCTTAGAAGAAAGATGGAAAAAATCTCCTCCTATTATAGCTTTACAGGCTCTGAAAACTCGCTTGAGTCAGCTATAAGAAAATTCCAAATTGATAGCAAATAACAAGCCTCATGTCAAGAGAAAAGTTATTACATAATATTTGATTCAAAGAAAGTATAGAGGAAAACCACATATGTAAAATAAGAAATTCTAGCAAGTACTGTAAATAAATTTTTTTAAACTTACGGTGTCTGCAGAGCTGGGACCCTGAGGTAGGCTGGGGCTGAAGGTCATGAGGTCAGTCTTGGGCGGCCCCTCCCCAGAGCACACCCTCTGCCTACTCTGCTGGGAGCACGACCAGCTCCCCACCGCGCTCGAACACACCAGCCTCGGCTTCCCCGGACCGCACGCGCCCTCTGCCGGCGGCGCCGAGCACCGCAGCGCCGTGTACAGCAGCAGCGTCAGCACCAGCAGGCTGGA